ACCATGACATCTTTGGCGCCGTTGCAGCCTTTGAGCACTGCCTTGAGGTGGGGATCCAAGGCGCCATTGAAAATCACAGTGTTCCCGAAGTTCAGGGCTTTGATTTCAGCATCTGCACACTCTGCTTGCCAAGACAAGTCAACCTAACAGTTGGTAGAACATATGAACATATATACCAATATTAAAGTTTGGATGGATGAAAGGTCTAGACAGGCCCTCCAAGTATCAAAATGGTGTTTTTACCCCATTGTTTTGGCCTTTTTACCTTTTTTGGTGGATTTGGAGAGTCTAGGTACAGTAGGGGCCTTATTTTTTGTTGTCAATCATTTAATCGGAAAACCATGGCCAAAAAAGACTGGCCAAGTGCCTGACTTGCAGGTGTCGACCGTTTTTCCACTGCAGTTGGTACCAAAACCAATATATGTTTGGGACATATACCCAGAATATTCCCAGCTAATGGGAGACACATGTGATGAATAGCAGAGTGCAGGATTAGTGCAAATATGTGCAAATATTGCAAAGGTAGTATTGGCATTATCTGACGATTCTGACTTTTTGTGGTTCAATCATCATTTGATTTTTGTCATCATTGTTGGCCGGTTCGATGCCCTTCCAATAGCCCAGTTCCATGAAGTATGACGCTCGGTGTTATCGGCAAAATCGTCCCTTGGTACTGGTGGGTTGGATTTCCCAGGATTGTGATAGTCCCAACTATCAACCATATCATCGATCCACAGGGCTTAATGCGCACAAGCCACGGCTTGTTCTTCAGCTTGCAAACGCGCAGTGGACTCCTGCATTTAGACGAGTGGTTAGCTTAGCACAGGCATACCCTGATGAAAATTGGGATATAACAAAGAAACATGGGGAATTATAGGTGATTCATGTTAGCATAAAAGTTGGCTGAACCAATTTGACTGACTAGCAATAACAGAAATAGTTGGAACATGGCAGAAAACATTGCCAAAGGAAGTTTAGTTGGAAAACTTCCAAGTTACGGACAATGGTCATGGTAGCTGCATTGCGCAACAAACACCTAGCCGGACTTAGCCAGCAGGGTTCCACTTGTCGGCAACTCCAGAGCGAATCTCCAGACACCCAACAGGAATCAACATTTTGTGACCCAATATTGGGGGTGAGTCAAAACCTAGAATCACTTTGGGGGGATGGACATCAACACCAGCTATTTTGGTTTGAACAACAGCTCAAGCCAGAAGGCAACCGATTCATCATGACCCGCGGTCATCTTTTTTCTTTTAACGACTGCACATCGAAGCTTTGCCGTCACCTAGCTAAGACATTTTGAAACACTGTGGAACGCACATCATGGACCTTGCGGTGTCACGATGGGTTGCAGTCTGACGACGGTGGTGTTTGATTAATAGGTCGACCTATCATAATGCAGGTCTACTTGTTGAATCTTACTGGGGGGTTGGTCTGATTTTTTGAGAAGCACTCCAGATTTGTCTGGTTTATCAACATGTTCATACATTTTCTTTATTAAAACTGCCACAACTGGGAAGTAGGGCCTCCCGCCACGGTATCTAAAACGTTAACATCTGAGAGACTCAGCATGATTCTGAGTGCCCACTAGAATACCTACAAGGTGGTACCCCGTAACGATTGAGGCAAGTTGGTGAACATGTGCCTAGGTACCGTTTATGGTAGATATATCGAACTAGTTAATGGGGTTTATAAACCAACTTAGAACTGTGTGGGGGCACCACCTTGTAGCAATAAGATTATTTTGCAAACCAAAAAATGTTGTCCCCATATATCGAGAAACAAATAAATGAACATTTTTTGGGCCAAACATTGTCCAAACGTCTTTAATGACATCAGCATCATCTAAGCCAAGGCAATGATAGAAGCCTGCTGCAGCTGGGCCTCCCATGTTTACCATCAAGCTGTTGGTAGCAATGGCGATCTGGGAATAAAATTGGGTATACGGTATATATCCAACTTAATGAGTTAGGTTTGACTGAATGGGTGCAGACCAAGGAATTGCAGATATAGCCTAGAATTATGGCCACCTTCTAAGGAGCTATTTGAATGCCCCAAAACTACCGGACAGATCAACTTCTGTGGCTGCAAGTCTAGGGATTTCAAGGGTAAAACTTGACCTTGCCGTCCATGTAGGAAAGGTAAATTCAACACATGCTTTTAACTTGTTACAGTTATGATCCAACTAACAGCTATTAAACTGTGACTATTTTATGATATATATATATATATATTATGTATATAACCAACTAGTTATAGGAGTTGGTTCATCCCATTTTTATATATATATATATCCCATTTATAAAGTGTTTGTTGGGCCATAATTGCAAGTGGATGGAAACAAACTTGAGCACCAGTCGAACCACACATTTGGTCACTTCCAGGACTAGGCCAAGAAACACTTGGGTCAAGGCTGGCTTTTGATCAAATTCGAACGCTGGTCACTTGGAAACTACAAGGTGGTGCCCCCAAAGGATAGCTAAGTAGGCTTGTAACTGGGTGAAATCTATGGTTTATGGTAGATATATCATGATATCTATCTACCTATACCATGATCTGCCGTTTTGGAGCCCTTTAAACCAGCTACTTTTGTGGTTATACATGGAGTAGTCATTCCATTTATGGGGTTATAGCTGACTTGTAACATCTTGTAACCGGTGAAGGGCCATAACTGTGACCTCATGTGACCTCATTTCATTGATACATCTTGGTACTTCAACTTGGTCAAGGGCATTCATTGCCCAAGGAGCTGTTGTCAATGGCAGGGATGCACCAAGGAACTGTTGAATTGATCTAGGTGAAACTAGATGAAACTAGATGAAACTAGCAGATATGGAACGCGAACAAACTTACAGGTACTTACAGTATACTTACAGATATATCATCCATAAAGCAGAGATACTTAGCAAAAATCGGGTGAACTGGTGGATCCATATTCGGAAACCCAGATTCATCCAAGTATTACCCTCTGGTAAACATACACAAAACTATGGAAAATCACGATTTTTTGAAGGGAAGACTCACTATAAATGGCCATGTTCAATAGCTATGTTTGTTTACCAAGGGGTATATATATATTATGTTTCACACACAAACCATTCTGCCCATCAAGCACCACCCAAGTCAATTTTGACATATTTTGACATAGCATGATGGACTTTGCCATTTCAAGCGCCCAGCAACCGCCGCCAGCGCCGATACCCGCGTTCACCCAAGGGCAAGTGCCAAGGGGTGAAGCGTCTCCCGCGCGCTGGGTCCGTGTTCGTTGCAGTGGTTTAAGATGTAGTTTGTTGATGCAATATACAGAATATAGGTTACATAAGCTTTTCCATTGGTTACTTCATGCTAACAAATAAAATAAAAAGGCTACTAATGGTACACAAAAATATACTACACTTTATTCTACGCTAAAAGAAATTAACTAACAGGAACACATATGTCTACTGTTTTGAAGGATCTTTCAAACGAAAAAAACATGAATCATATACATTTGCGAATTTGCAGGTCGTTGATCATATAAGGCTAGGTTTAACCTTGACATTTCCAACTAAGATAAAACTGGACCGGCAATCGCCGTGAGTTCAAGCGCCCCCGTGACTGCCCCGATCAGTGTCACAACGCGTCTCCTGCCAGAAGTGAGCCACATTGACCCACAACAAACACCATTGTTGGGTTATTGTGGTGATAAGCGATATAACCTTAGTCAATGGAGATTGTGAACAAACCAAACAGCCTTTGCCACTGGGCTTCAATCAGGGAATTGAGCTCATCAACAAACTGTTGGTCAGTAATGAGGGTCGACAAATCATGACAAATCCAGAGCAGCCAGAAGCTTTGGGTCAGGTCGAATTGACGCACAAATTGTGTGTTCGCTGACAGAAGAACACTCGGGGAATGTAGCCTTGCTGCCCAAACTGAACACCGTCGCTGCCTGTTCCTTCAATGCCATGTTCAACTCATCTTTTGAAAAGAATAGTTGTTCCCAGGGCCGAGCGCCATGGGCATGTCATGTACGATTTGTCTGGCGCAGCAAGTAATGGCGAGCCATCAGGACTTTTGGATGGTGTTCGTCTGGCCATAATGCCATCAGCAACCCAGTGAGAGCTGAACCTTTCACTGTCCAAGCACGCTTTGCAGTGCATTCTTTATCATTCTTTCAATGCCTTCCTGAACGTTTTGACCAGTTTGATTTCAGGCTACAGTGGCTACAGTCCAATGGGATGGGAGTTTTCTTCAGGGCACTGCCAGTCACCACAGGGTGCCCAGTTGAGATCCCCAGTTGGGGATTTCTCCAGCCACCCAGCCAGGACAGTTCACCGCAGGACCCGAACCGCATCCTGGAATCATTGGGGTGTTATCTACCTATTTTTTGAGGTGAACCACGAAGTATAATGCGTTAGAACCTGTGATAAACGCTAAACGTGGTTTACGACCTGAAAACCAAGGCGATATGGCCGCTTGTTTGGGAAGTTTTGTCGAAAAAATGGGTTTAGTGAAGCAAACAAATGGTCATGTAGATACCAAGTGATACATAGATATTGTAGTTACCCATAAATCCTATAAATGTGTAGGTAATTGTAGGTACTGCCATAGATATAATAATGACAAATAATTGCAGAAATGTAGATACCGCGATTTAAATATAGGTTTACTGACCAAATACAATATGGGATTAAAATGGATTACATGGGTTTGTCCGAAGACAAGGCACCACAAATTTCACTGGTTCATCATTGTTTCTCCATTTAACAGCAATCAATTTTCAATCACACCCAAATCATATTAATTGTTGGCCATATATCCAAGTATATGCCCATCCTTTCATCACATTTGTTTGATTGATGTTTGGTTGCATACTGACATCATATCTACTCCCAAACCCTCAATTGTCGCAATTGGATTTCTATGTGACCATACTTACCCATATTTTACTTATATCTACCCCATAATCACACAAACACACACATTTTCCCATATTTTCCCATATTTACCCACACCTTCAGCCGCGTCCTTCAAGGCCCGCTCCGCGGCGCCGGCGCCGGCCAGACGGCCAAAAACGGCGCACTCCAAGAGGCTGTTGCCACCCAGGCGGTTGTTGCCTTAGCAGATCCCCTGGGTGTCAGGAGCTTCAAAAAATCGTGGCCTTTCATGGCTTAAAAAATAAAGGTTGACTGGGGATAATAGTGTAACACTACGTATATATGCACATCTATAGATATATGATGATAAACGGGATTCCAACACCCGATAGGTTGGCATACTGGCCCCTATAACTCTGTTGATATAACCATTTATCAGTGGAAATGCAGCCCAAGTGGTGCCATTTATGCCAGCGTATAATTCACCTATGCTGTGTTGGAGCCCTGATTCAAAGGACATGGTCGGCCAGGGTTCGGTAGGCTTCGGTTTTCATATCCATTTATATATTTATATTCACTACAGTATATATCCAGTGTATTCGCAGGGTCCTATATATCCAGTGTATTCGCAGGGGACCCAAAATGAATAGATCCAAGACTTTTTACCACATGTTTGTGGTGGAAAAACGATTGTTCCCATTCCATCTACACGATATGAGGTTTTATGTACTATGCATTCCCATTTCATAATGATATCTTGCTGGCTATATACACAAAATATCTGGATATACCCATATACAATATATCCACCACAAATTGCAGACAATCACCAATTCCATTATATCATATATATATATGTTCTGAACCATTCACATCCCAGTATACCCCAGCTTCTGCCAGTTAATTCACTATTTTTGTTGGTTCCAATATGTTCCCATTACTTCTCGAACATATCACCATGTCTTCCCCATCCAAAGAAATGTCTGCTTATATCACCTTATTTTGCCAGATCGTATTTCAAGCAAACCCATACATCATACATATATATATATATGTATATATATAAGTGAATGAAGACAACATGATATAATACATCTGAAAACAATACATATACATGTATGAAACATATGGTATATAGTTATATATATTATACGTATACATAATATATATATAATTCTATATATATACATCACCAGTGAAAATTGGATCTTTAGTACACCCATCTATGGCATTTTTTTGGCGAAAAAAAATAAACATCGGGCCGCGGCACCATGCACGCCGCCGGTCACTTCCCCTGCGCCATAGAGGCCCGGCAGAGCTTCACCGTCCCGGAGCACCTGACGAGGAGCCCCACTTCGTTGGTGAACATAATGGGTTGATAATGCTCTATTGTTGGTAATGGTTGATAATTGTTAGTAATGGTTATAATAATGGTTATACAAGGTGGTGCCTTTCCTAGTGATGTTTCTTGGTTTATAAATCCTATTTTTACTATGATATGTCTACCATAAACCATAGTTGTTGAAGTCATTGGCACCAACTTAGCGATTCCGAACTGGGGCACCACTAATTGTAACAATAGTGTATGACACGCAAAAAAACGATATTTAGATGGGGTTAGATTTATCAACAAAACTGGGGGGCACCCATCCTGTAGGGTTTTAATTGTTGTTGTTTCCTGGAAACATGAGGATTCATGTGATGTATGAGACAAATGGGTGGAGAAATGAACTTATCTAAGTGATAAGTAGTGAACATAGGGAGTTTACAAGAGTTTGCCCCTCAAGAAAAAGATGACTAGTATATAGACGATAAACAGAAATGGAGGCATCTGGCAGAGATTAGCCATCAAAAGAAAAGGATTTAGCCAGGAAACATGGTAAATTGCAGGTGGTTTGAGACAGGGACGTTGGTTTATAACTAGGTTTACATCATGGTCTGTGGTAAAATGACATCATGAGATGGATTCATAAATCAACATGTCACTGGGGGATGCCACATTACCATGATATGACCCATTGTAATATAAATGAACTGGGATATATCATATCCCACCAATCGAACATAATCGACACCTGCAGGATCACACCAAGTACTTAAGTAGGTGGTTAGAAAGTTGGGTTATATAAGCCACTTAACACATGGATATAAATGGGATAAGCCTCGGAAAGATAGCATCACCATGACTAGTAACCAGTTGCGAGTCCTTTGCATGATCCAAATGTGTACATCCATAGAGGCAAGCATGGAAAATATGCCAAAAATGTCTGGGTTAGCGAACTGGATAACGAGAGTTTAGTACTGACAAGATCATTTGCCATAAATGAATATATTTGTCTATTTTTTTGTCTATATATACATATATATATACAGACACTTAGACCATCCAAGTACCCAAGAACATGATTTAAAGCCCAAACAATCATGGGTATATGATCGCATCTTTGGTTCCTTATAGGCTCTTGCTGGGTCACCGCTTCACCCTAGCCTCAGCTCGCGGGTTGATGGCTAAACCGCCCATGCAGTAGTGCAAGGTGGGTGTCACCTCAGGAGCTGGACTTCCCTGGCCCCCAATCGAAGCTACCCTCTGGTAATGGCTAGCAGTTCGCTAAAATGAATGAACATGGCACATTTAGTTCGTTGATTTAACGAACTTAGCTATGAGATGGTGATGTTCCATATTTTTTTGGTACGTATGTTTACCAGAGGGTACAAAATCAGCAAATGATTCGGCACTGTCTGGCTTCCACCGGGCTTGCCCCGCTGTTCGGACAAACTGTATCGACATCGTCATGAATCCTTTTCGTAGGAGTGACTATGCACAAACGAAAAGAAGGGCCTGCTAAAGGCATGAAAGAACAAATGGACACATTTTCTCCAAATGAAACTTGGGCATGGTTCCTGTTGTTTTTTTTGCAATGAGACGAACTATCTCTTCCAAATGGTCGATGTTCACTGCGCCACAACGATGTAAAGCAAGGTCGTTCTAACAAATCACCAGCTAACTGCGATCACATGCTGTATTCCCCTCAAGTTTTGAACCCATAAAAATAATGTTGTTGCAAAACGCGACCTGGAGCACGCACTGATTGAAAAGCTTAGACTGCACCTGGACACAACAAACAATATTAAAACAAAACAGAGCGCACTGACATTCACTAGCGAGAGTACCAGCCAACTTCCGTTGAATTGGTCCAGAGGAAGGGGCGCAAAATCACTGAGCACTGTATAGTTAATCTAAAATAAGAACTACATACACCACTACCATCAACCCTCACATGACACATGACCAACACATTCTCATGGACGGCCGGACGGCCTGCAATCGAATTCTCTTGGAACCCATCAAAAGCTGGTGCTGGTCACTTCTGAAGTGGGAACTCTGGTTCGTTATGTAACTTTACATGTTTGCATCACTTACAACGTTCTTATAGCATACCTATAACATATGTATAGCAATGTATAGCATATTTATGAATTGTGCTGTTCACTTTTTGATTCTGAAATGTTTTGGAACCAAGAGGTCCAATGCTGGAGACTTCACCCAGCCATGAAACAGTCCTATGAAATATCGGTGGTGATATCTCGATAATTCATTCAACTATTGTCTATAGTCTATACATATAACTATATACATACAACCATACACACACACATATATATATACATATATAGTTATTTGACTATATATATATATATACCTATATACCTATATACCTTCGTAGTTATATGTATATAACTAAACAATACTCATATTATTATATTAATATAGCTGTACGTATTTAAATATATGCATATTATACACAAATATATACATATATACATATATTACATCTTTATATATATATAAATATACATCCATCAGATGAATCCCAGGTTTAATCACCGTGCTATCTCCATTTCGCCATACAATCCCACATCCACAGCTTGCTCTGGTTACATCATTCGCCATCCAGTAAATCCATCCCCCTGATATGAATCACCCCCCACTGGTTCCAGATAAGTGTAAAATCCTCTACATCCACAATTGTTTCGGTGTGCAACTTATGTGCGGGGAAAAAACTAGCATGCAAATATACAGTTGGATCATATGAATTGTGTGTGCTAAGTGATGCTAAGTTCTTCCTTATTTCATCCCAAAAGAAAACAACAAATTGATAAACCACCACTTTCCCAGTACATCAAATCGCTATTACATACAGTATATGTTCGTATGTTTACAGCAGGGTAATCCAAGTTCTTCCTTCTTTTCAATCCCCCAATAACATCCATACAGCTATGGCCCAAAATACCAGTTATAAGTCAGTAAGTAACCCCATTCATGGTCAGGTCACCCCATTTATTATCATAAAAAAAGAAAAAACAAAATTACTTCACTTCGAGTTATCCCCACCATGCCATTTATACACTTTGTTACTGGCAAATCTTCTGGCATTCTATCTGGCAAACATTCTGGCGCTTTATCTGGCATACCTACTGGCATTCTATCTGACATTCTATCTGGCATACCTTCTGGCATTCTATCTGGCATATCTTCTGGCATTTTATCTGGCATATCTTCTGGGCATATCTTCTGGCATTCTATCTGGCATATCTTCTGGCATTCTATCTGGCATATCTTCTGGCATTCTATCTGGCAAATCTCATGGCATTTTATCTGGCATATCTTCTGGCATTCTATCTGACATTCTATCTGACATCCTATCTGGCATATCTTCTGGCATTCTATCTGGCCGTTGAGGTCCAGCGGTGCACACTGAGCTGGGCAGGTCCCAGGTTGAGGTCCAGCGGTGCACACTGAGCTGGGCAGCTCGCAGGTTGAGGTCCAGCGGTGCACACTGAGCTGGGCAGCTCGCAGGTTGAGGTCCAGCGGTGCACACTGATCTGGGCAGGTCCCAGGTTGAGGTCCAGCGGTGCACACTGAGCTGGGCAGCTCGCAGGTTGAGGTCCAGCGGTGCACACTGAGCTGGGCAGTTGGCGAAGAGCTTGGCGACGAGTTGGCAAGGTTGGCAAGGCGGAAGTGGAGGTGGAGCAAGGCGGAAGTGGAGGTGGAAGAGGCGGAGGCGAGGAGGACAGCGAGGAGGACAGCTAGTCGAGGAGGAGGAGGAGGAGGAGGAGGAGGCGGGCATGCGCTCTGATAAAATCTAACAACCCTCACCTGGCAGGTGGGGAAAACATTGGTAATATGGAATTTAACCCTCTTATCCCGTCAAAAATTACTTGGTTAAAAACGCTTCCCCAATCCTATGGCTTATCATAATCCCCAATCTCATAACCAAATTTGATATTCATTGCTTATTATGCTACATTCATGGGTGATTATCCTACTATCGGTCAATAATAGCATAATAACTGTGGGTTATTTCTACTGTGGATTTTTATAATATCCCCCGTGAATGTGCACGAGCCTGTGGCTGACTGCATTCCATAAACGACCACAAACTCATTAAAGGGGGGATATTTTAATGGGTAAGTTATTCTCATAACCCATATATGCTCCATGTATGGTATATTTACCTACATCTGCCCTAAAAATCACCTAAATGATGGTACATATTCCATATATGGAGCATATGGGTAATGGAACTGTGGGTTAACAACTTTAGGCCCCAAGAAATCTGATCAGCCACGACTTATTCCACGACCCGTCCAAGGTCCAAGTAGCAAAGGCCACATAGAGATGCGCTGAACTGGGGAAACGCACCTGACTCGACGTTTGTTCAGATGTGATATACCTTGACAGTACCTTTTAACCACATTGTATAGGTAAATGTATACTCAAAAGAAAATGTGTATGATATATATATACACACATATGTGTATATATATATATATATATTGGGCGCACGTATTGTATTGCAACATGATTTTGTGTATGGTCACACCTCCACCAGAACCTACCTTCCTCATGTTTTGTTGTGTTATTTTAAGATCTGAAAAAGTGTAGATTCCAACATGATTCCGACCTGTATCCTAAAATGAAAGTCGCGCTTGGGACCATTTTTAAAACTGATCTGCACACGGGCCTTGAGTTCAATCCAAAAGTTAGAAACCACAACGTAAACGTAAGCCTGAACGTGGAGATCTACTTGGTTAGTATCAATACTTATCTTAGGACCTATGATGGATACATTTGGGCGGGTTTAAAAATCAACAAACATAACTGGGTGGTCCCATCTTGTACCCTTGACCACACCGTTACACTCCTAAGCCTGAAACAAGGCGACCATTGGGTAAAATCCCATTCATATCCTCATGTTTGGTGCTGCTTATATCTCAGTTAGAAATGGCGTTGTTTGTCTGAAAATAGGGGATACATGGGGATACCCACAAATAA